GCCAATAAGCAACAGAGGCTGAGGCTGTGGTTCCCAAGCCCAGTGAACCCCAGACTGCTGTCAAGGCTCAGCACATTCTCAGTCCATCATCCACCTCCCAGGCCTCTGCACCATGGGTTGGAAATCACTAAGTTATGATGAGCTGTGGTGGTAGGAACGAGCATCTTCAGAAATAGTTTCAGATAGGGGATTGAATTGCAGGAAGATTTTTGAGAAGGAGATCTGGAGAAACAATACCAGTTGTTTGGGAGATGAAGAGAATACAGAAGGGAATTCTTCTGCCTGTTAAATCTTTTTCTTCTCTTTTCTTCTTGTCTTTTTTTTTTTTTTTCCTGAGCCTGTGATAAAGGGAAAAGAACAAAGTGGAATGCTTTAAATTGTCAAGCTTTGCTGGCAAATCTTCAAAGAAATTGGAAAATTTTTTACCTTTCTTATATTGCGCCAGTTCTTGACTGCTCTAGTTCTCAGTAATTAACAGTGTTTACAGGCAACATTCAGCCATTCCTTCAAGAGGAAGGAACACACTGAAGTCACTGTGAGCCCCATGTGCAAGGCTGTCTCCAATATTTGAGGCCAGGCAGTATGGTAGTGCTACAGGAGAACAAATCTGTGGGATGAGTCCTTGGATTCCAGCTGTGCTGGTGTGCTAGTCACATACAGAGGTGTCCAGGTGAGGATTAGAATGTGTTTACCAGCTAATCAGTTTGAGCAGGTAAATTCTGGCCCTTCCAAGGGGTTGGCTGTACCTGGCATGTAATTTAGATGCAAGTGAACTTGTATGAAAGTTTCTTGTGACAGGAATGATGATGTGTGCTCTTGTCTTCCCAGCCTTGCTCTGGGCTTTATCACGATGAGGAGTGTGAAATGAATGCCATTCTGATATGATCAGTGCAGAGAATTTCAGGCCATGGCTGTGTCAGTGGGCTTGACCAGTATGTGGCTATTTCAGTTAATGTATTTCAGCTCTAATCCAAATTCCTTCCATGGGGATTGGTGGTGCTGTTGCTGCTGTAGAGTGACCTAAAGGAACTTTCCACTTGTTTTTTCAGGAGGCATCTGAGTACAACCTGCCCTGCTCCCTGCTCCCAGGTCAGGCTGGAAGCATTGTAAGCATTGTCTCTGGCAGCTGGGGCTCATTCATAACTCCAGAGTCTTAGGCTCACACTTGGATACCTTTAAGCCCCATTTAATCCCAGAGGGCACCTGATTCACATGAACTGACTGCTTTTGCTCTCAGACACGTAAGCCACTTTTGTAGTGGCACATGAAAAAAGCAAGAACAAATCCCTTTCAGAGTTCAGGAGACAGAGGTGAACATTGTATCACCAAAACCAGGGAAGAGAGAATTTCTCCTGTCTGAATACATGCTGACCTACAGCACTGACTGGAGCTGCTGCTCATAGCTTGTGCTGCAGCCTGGCTGCTGACAGAATAACTTTGCTGAGCACCTCTGCTGCAAAGAGGTTCCTTGGAGCCTGCCAGAAATACTGCTGCCTTCACCTTTGGTCCTCAGTAAGATACAAAACTCTGGCCTTTGTGAGGGTACAAAGAAGAAATATGCTTGCCCTTTTTATGTTCAAATAAGCAAAATAATGTTCTGCTCTGTAAAATAATCTTTACAGTCAAAAGGAACACTGGGGGAACGACCAATAGATACACATATTTTTTTAATGTGTACTTTGGATCACTGCATTTGAAAGGATTGAAATCATAGTGGAAAGTCACAAAAGAAAAAGGAAGTAATTATGAAATAATTGAGGGGGGGGAAATTGTTATACTGTAATAAAGATAAGTAGTTTTAGCTAATTTTCTCTCTGCCTTTTTTGTTAAACAAGCAGCAATATTTTGAAAGCAAATTTCAGTTTTGTTTATGGTTCAGCCCGGTTTCAGGTGTTGACCCCCAGGCACAGAATGAGCTTGTGCTGCTTGGGGAGCAAGGGCTGCAAGAGAAGAATTATAATGAGAGTTTTGCTTTAAGAAAAAAAATCCAAGAAACTGAAGCTGTTAGTGTTGTTTGTATTTTTATCTTGTAGAAGCTAATTTTTGAAATGAGTCCTGACAGTGTCTTTCTTATTTCTCTATGCTTGTAATTTTCTCAGTCTGAGAACCAGAGCATAAATGTATTTTCTTGGTTCTTTTCCTGAAGTGCTCCTCATCAGTTGTGTCATCTTTAAAGATGTACAGACTGAGAAGACAAAAGCTTCTCTATCCTTACTTAGGACATTAGGGAGAGTGAATCTGCATCTGCCTGTGTGCAGCTGGAGAATGCAGTTGCAGGATGAGATTTTCTCAAGTCACTGTGGAATCCTAGTGCTTTCCCTCCCTCACTTGCACACCGAGGCAAGGCTGGGTTTTGCCACAAAGGCTGGTTAATTAAGGACCACCCACCCCCCTTCTCCTTGAATCCTAACGTAAATCCTCCTCAGATACTGCAAACTGGGAAACCCCAAGCAGGAGCATTGCAGCTCCAGCTCCATATTTGTCTTGGATGGAAGGCCAGACTCCTGTCTGGAACATCTGAATCGGTGCTTTGGGTGCAGCTTCCTTCCTTCTGGAGTGGGGATGATCTTGTCAGCAAAGCACCTGTTTTACAAGATGAAGTCACTGACACGAGTGGGCTGCCAGTATTTATGTACATCAAGGCAGGGAAACAGGAGCTTTTTGTCCTGTGCTGCAGCAAGCACCTGCCTTTGCTTTCCCTTCCTTGGGTCGATCAGGAAGGTAGTTTATGCTTGACCCTGACTTAAATGAAATAAAATTTTGCTAAGGAAGCTTTACTGAATGCATTCCAATGGCTTTCCAGATTAATGGCATTGACTAATGTGTGAATAAAAGAAACAGCTAAGAATTTCTTGTAATTCTTGATTTCCTTTGGTACCTCAGTCAATGCTAATTCTAACCAAGAAGCCTCTTTTTTTGATAAATCTATTTCCATATTGAATTTGGTGATTTAATTCTCATCAGTTTTGAGGGAGAGGGGACTGACAAAGAATAATCCTGCCTCTGTTGTGGATACTTGGGACGTTATTTAAGTGCTAGGCAGATATGGGTGTGCTGAGATGCTTTTCACGAGTGCTTTTTCAATATTGAAATGTGGTGCTCTTTGAGGTACTGACCACATTTGACCTTGTGTTCTTCACAGGCATTGTTCAATCAGTTTAGCAGCTGTTTACAAAGCACCAAAATTCAGAAGGCTTTCATCTCTGAATGAAACACATTCTTTTTTGCTCAACTTGGCATCTCTGAATTTACTGAGCAGCACCAATCCCCTAATATTGTGTGATTAGATTCAGTTACCTTGTGCCATCCCAAAAAGTTCCAGTTAATTAATGGAATCGAGTGATGCTTTCAAAGCTATTGCTCTGAATTGTGACACATCCAGCTAAAATTACTTTGTTTTCTTAAAGCAGAGTCTAAAATATTGTTACTTAGTTTTCTAAATTTGGCTCCCTTGCTTCATGCCATTTTACTGGCAAGATACAAGCAAATGCAACTAATGATTGATTTCTTTGAAATGAGGTGGTTGGTTCAAGGGGAACCTCTGCTTCTGTGCTAAATTTTCTTAAAGAAAAATGCTTGTGAGCTCTGAAACTTCTGTTGGCTCCAGAAAGAAATACAGTTAGAATGTGGGATGGGAATATTCCTGCTCTCCTTTTGCATGGTTCTAGCATGTTGGAAGCCAGTCAGTCTTGGGCTTTACTACTGGTAAAGTGTTGGATTTTAGGTATTACTTAAAGGAATACTTAGATTAGTTCATATTTAGCAAAAATGCACTGGGATGCTTCCACAAAAGATGCTGGTAAAAGCAATTTGTGTTTTGAAGGAGAGTGCTATTTTGAGGGAGAACAATCCTTTTTCCCTACCTTATTCAGTCCTTGGCCTTCAGATTGGTATCAACAAAGGAAGTGACTCTTACAGATGCTTTTGTAATGTGGTTCCTAATTTGCTGAGAGCTGGACTGAGATCCTTTGACTCATTTCACGTAAGCCACCAAAGAGCTGTTTCCAGTTACTGCCTGGACCAGGTCTTGGAGCTGAAAGATGACATCTCTGCCTGCCAGCCATGCCTCACAAGGATCATAACAACTTGCATTTCAAATATTTCAACATGATAATTCAGCCTTTGAAGTTTTGGCACCTATTTGGCAAGGGATGTCTCCAAAGAGGTATTTTTAGCAAACACTATATATAGAGCCTCAGATCTTCATCTTCTTTCTTTATGTGAAGAATATTTTTACCGTCTGTGAGGTGCCCAGAGTTAAAGGCTGTAAAAATGACAAGATGCTCAAGCCACAGTTGGATTCAATGTGTCTTAAATTTGGTGGGAGCTGTGCCTATCCACATTACAGACTTGCCTGGCCCTCTTCTGCCAGAGGGTCCAGTGTCCTGTGGTGCAGATGGGAATGAGGGAGGCCACCTATTTTGTTTGCTTCACTGGGCTTTTGGAGCATAATTTAACTGAAAGTGAAATCTGTTTGCTGTAGGACTGTTTACTGAGGATGAATCTCTAAAGGTGCTTGAGAAGGCTGTTGCAGGCATGGCCAACAGTTAGAGGCTTTGGAGATTATGAGGAGAAGCCAACTGCAAAATCCAAAGACTCATTCCAGATATTCTCAGCACAATTAGAGCTGGCATTGTGTCAGATGCCAGGCAGGATTCATCTACTTGGCCTTGGGTGTTTAAAAGTTGGACATCTTAACCATCCTGGGTGCTCAGTGGACTTGGAGAAGCACTGGGAGGAGATGTTTGCTTCTGCCTCCTGCAAGGGTGACTACAGTTGGAAAAAATGGGTGCAGGGAAGGCCTGGGTGGACTTGCAGTTGTTCTGCCTGGAGTATCACACCCTGATACTGCTGTGTGACTTCTGAGTAGCTCCCTGGAGCAGGTGAAATGTCAACAATAACAGGGTCTAGTGGGTTCTCTTCTGTTAAATATCCCTGCAGGTGCAAGCAAGAACTTGTGAATTCCCAGCCTCCTTTTGTTTTGCCAGCAGAGTGGTCAGGATCTGTTTGTTTTTCTCCAGAAGAGCGTGAAGAATGTGCTCCCTCAACAGCAGCTGAGAGCCCCAGGGCTCCTGTGATCCTCTGCAGTTGCACCTCTGAAAAATCCCCGGGCTCAGGTCAACTGAACTTTTTCTTCTGTTTCCTGCTGTAATTCTAGATTTTCCCATAGTTCATTGTGGCATTTAGTGTTAAAAATAGGATTCCATAAAGCATTTTTATGTTCCTGAAGTGCACACACTTTATTTTTCAAACGTGTATCTGTGTGAAGCCTTGCCAGAGGAGCAGCGTGTCTTTGCCCAGCACTGACCTGATCTGACTGTAATACTAAACTCAAGGTGAGATTCAGGACTAATGCACTCATTCTGTGTCTCAGCTCTTCCTTAAGGTTTTTGGCAGCTTCTGCAAGTTACTCTTTGTGCCTCAGACACCTGTGCTGCATAGTTAACTTTTGATTTAATTTATTTTTTGGTGGCTCTGATTAATTTTGTTATGCCTTGCTTTTTGCATTTCTGAAATCAGACTGAAATTGTCTGCATTTTTTGAGAACTGTATGTGGCAAGTGCTGTGTCAGCATGTGTGGCTCACCATCCCTGGAAGTGTTCAAGAAATTATTTTAGTTGGCACTTTATGCTGTGGTTGAGTTGATGTGGCAGCGTTTGGTCAAGGACTGGACTTGATCTTGCAGGTCTTTTCCAACCATGATGGCTCTAGGATTCTCTGCTTTCTTGGATAAATTTCTGCTACTACATGGAAGGGGTCTGTTCCCTACAGGCTGCTGCAGATACTTGTTACAAGTCAGGGATCTTCCCTTGCTTGTTCACCTTCAAAATCCTGCCAGGACTGAAGGCTGGGTTTACTTCATTTCCTTCTCAATCCAGGTGATACAGTTGCCAGCTTGCATTATCAAGATCATGTGTTTTATGTTTCAGTTTTGCAAAGTACCTCCAGATCTGGTTGGAAAATATTTTCAAGGGGCAAAACATAATTTGCTTGAAGCCTGGGTGGAAGGTACATGGCACAGGGAAGCATACAGAAGGTACATGGCACAGGAAGCAACAGAATAAAGCCTGCAGCTCCAGTTCATTGCAAGATGGAGATCCTTTCTGGCATTATTAACACGAGGGATAACCCAGAGGAGAGGAAAGCAGCTTGAGGCTTGCTGGCAACCCCAAGAGACCTTTGCAGCTTTGAGCATGCTGGGAAGAGGGAGGGCACACCTTCCCTCCTGGAGGCTGCCAGCAGAGCAGCTTCCCTGTGCTTTCAGGATTTGCTGAAATTTCCATAATTTATTTTGCCAAATTTTGCTCAAGGGGATAAAAAAAAAAAAAAAAGGTGGACTAGCCTCCAGATCATGCTTCCAACCCTGAGTTACCATCTTAGATCTGGGGAGAGTAATGAATTTTTTATTAAGGATCGAGGCTAGGGAGGTAGGGCTCAGTATCAATGGAGCATAATCTGTGGAGTAAAAAGTGCTAGTTTCTCCCAGACCTTTCTGACTGCCAGGGGTAGTTCTAAAATAAGGGCTTTCACTTGCTTTTCATTTTGTAAATGAGTGCAAGTTAAAATATATTTTAAGGCTCAATTGAAGCAATAATTAATCATCTGAGGAATCACAGATGTAAATGTTTTTAATTCTGTGCTAATACTACTTTATTGGACTACTTTTTCTTTGTTTTTTGTGCTCCTTACATTTTCAGAAGAGAAGAGAATAGTGCAGAGCGGCTGCTTCCTTGTGATTTGTGAAACTGGGACATGTTCTCTCTTACGCTGTGCTATATCAGTGTGACAAACCACATCCCTGATATTGCGTGTGGCTTTACTGGGAAACTGTAAAACTCTCCAAAGGTTGCCTACTTATCAGTGCTTTAAAAGCAGCTGATTAATGTTATTTGCATGTGAGCAACAGAATATGTAAACATTGACTGGAGAGTCATTGGAGGAATGCTCTCAGCTGGACTCACAAGAGCAGCATTTCTCCAAGGCTGCTGGAGCTCAGCTTGGAAATGCTATCACCAAATTTGGCCTCTTGCAGAGCATTGATATTCAGTGTCCTTCCTGTTGCTCATTCCCATATATTTTTCCCCTGTTTCTGAATTCACGGTGGGATTTCAGCCCTATCTTTGGAACAGTGCAAGCTGTCTCAGGTGCTTATCTTGCCACACGCCCTTCCAAACCCACAATATACATACCCATGCTTGGCTGCAGCCCTCAAATGGGCAGCTCACACAAGTGCACTTAAAAAGGAGGGCCCACATGTGTCATATGTTTTAAGTGAAATAATGAATTTTCAGAATGAATTAATAACTTCTTAATACTTAAGACCCCAGTCTTTTGTGCCTGTGAACTCCTTAAGCCTCCTAACATGATCTGCTGGCTACAGGAGTGGTGTTTGCTTTCTTGTAGGGTGACTGAGGCACACCCTAAGTACGTGTTTTCTTTTTCTTTCTGTATGGTTTGTTTTTGCACATAGGAAATAAAATAGAATCCAGATCATCTGTTACTTAATGCAGTTTCTTGTGCTGTAGCCACAAGAGCATCCTTCCTCTGTGCATACATCATCTGCAATTAAAAACAGAAAACTCCAGATATTCACTACTTCAATGCTTGCATCACTGGCAAATGACAGAGACTTAAAGTGGTTTTATTCTGCAGGATTTGTGCACTTCAAGTCACCATTAGAGGCTTTGTTAGGGATACCTGAGCAGGCAACTCTTCTGGGAGAGTGGTTGAATAGACTGAGAGGAGATGCGTTAAGGAATGAGTGAGAAATTAGGATGGGCCTTTAAGTGGATGTTCCTGATGTGTTCCCATAGATCAGGTACTGGGCATTGCGTTAAGTGTTTGAGTGGCCATAGAACTATTCAGATTCAAGTACAGGTTGTGTCTGTGTGTGCTGCAGGGTGGGCTTCTGCTGCAGCTCAGCATTGCTGTTGGAGCTTGCTGTCCATGCTGGGCTTTGCTGAGTGTGCTGGAAGCAAGCAGTGCCTCAGGAGAGTTTGGGAGAGCTCACAAGGCAAATGGGAGCAGCACATGGTACAAATCCTTCCTGGACGTTGTAAATGTGACTGGGGTAATCCATGGGGAGTGCAGCACATGGATGGGTGCTCAGCTGTTCATCATGATTAGCCTCACCTTGACCACTCCCATCAGAATCAAATGGTTTGTGTTCTGTACTGTTGCAGCCTGAAGAGAAGGGAATGTCAGAAAGTACTTACAGCCTGTGGTTTGAGAGCTTTGCACAGCTCTCCTCTTCACCAGCCCATTTCCAAAGGGAGCCAGCCAAAGTGGGGGCAAGAGGGATGTGACTCATTGGTGAGAGTCATTGTTTGTATAACAGTTGCCACTGTGGGGCTCTGGGCTTTCTGTTGCACCCAATGTGACATAAATGGCCTCTGTCCAAAGGGACAGCCCTGTACTCCCACTGCCACAAGTGTATCCAAACTTTACTGGGATGTAGTCCAAGTCTGGCTGCCTGCAAAAGGGACAGTGCTGTTCTCCCCCTTGTCCTCTGTGCCTGTCCCTATTTAATTGCTCCTCTTTCACTGAATTTGTGGAGTTGGAGGATGGGACAAACCAATTTGCTGATCTTATGGAAGAGTGGTCTCCTTTTCACAAGAGCATTGGCTGGTTGGTAGCTTAATTCTGTCTGGCTGCTGAGGTGCCCTAACTGGACTGTGGCTGCATTATTAGGAAAACTGTAGGAATGTGTGGCTGGGACTTGAGGGATCAGCTCAGTGGAGAGGAAGGGACTTTGTTGTAGCCCTGGCTGCTGAGAATTTTCTTGTCTTTCTAAGAACCAATTGTAGACCTGCACTGACAAGTCCTTGAAGCAGCACTTGGCAGCAATTCCTGTCCTTTCTGTGTAAAGGCCTTGAGCATAGGGCCCATGCCCATAAGGAAATGTTAATGTTAAATAATATTTCAAAAGTGGAAATGATCTCATTCTTCCTACGGCATATTTGGGTTTTTCTCTGGTTACTATTTATGGGAAATAGCTGCTTGTATGCAATTTGTCAAGCAATTCAGATCACTGCCTGAAAGTAGCCTTTATTTGCCACTCCACCAGTCTCCATCTTGACCCATTGTTTGTACAAAACCAGTATTTCCGTTCAGATTTCCTGCAGGTAGTTCCACTTGTATTTATCTGCACTTGACAGATAAAGAAATGGAGGCTCAATGACACTTGGTCACCTTACAGGGGCAGTAGAGACTTTCACCTTGAAAAGGAGCAGCGAGAGCCATTCTGTAGGAACACAAGTGTTTCTTCTCCTTTGCTTGAGGTGACCCCTGTTCCGTGAAGAGTCCTTCTTCTACTGATGGGTCCTGCTCCTTTTCTCAGTCAAGAGAGTGCTTAGCCCTCAGAACATGATCCAAGGCTTTCTGTTCTGAAGGCTTCCTTGGTGGGAAAGGTTTGCTCCTAGAGAATTTATCATATTTTTCTGCTTTTGTTGCCATAATCTATTTCATCTTGAAAGCTTAGGAAACTGGCTCTTTAAATTTTATTTATTTATTTTTAATCTGGAAATTTACCCTTTCATGCATGTTTAACATACAGCCTTAATATCTTATAGAAACTTAAGCAGATCTCTTCTGTTCCTTTTCCCCTACTTCCCTTGCAGCTGGATATAGCCAGAGCATATATCCACATTTATAAATGCTCTGGCTCTGATAAACCATTTATCCTGGTTTGCTTCTCTTTTCCTTTAACTTGGAAACCAGGTAATAGAATCAAATATCTGAGGTGAATTTAAAGGAAAACAACTCCCATTCTGAGTGAACTTTCCCAGGCCAAGGCTGGAGAATTACTACTCACCAGGAGCTAATACCCATCACAGGCCTCATCATCTTTCACCTGACCTGCATGCAGTTCCTTTTTTGCCTTCCTCTGCTCTTCCTAGAAGGGTGAATATGCAGCTATGTAGGAGGTGAATATGCAGCTATGTGGACATACAGACTGTCATAACAAAGCATTCCTGGTGCCCTTCAGCCCTGGAGGAGATGAGCAGTTGGGATGTGAAGGAAAGGCTGCAGGAAGACTCTGGGATTTCACAAGGCAGTCTGCCTCTGCAAGAGCTGTTTCCTCTCTACCTAAACCTCTACATTTCAGAGGGATAAATTGCAGCTACCCACTTGCTGTGTGTTTGTGATATATGCATTCTCAATGTGATAGAAATGTTGAAATATGAGACCACAGTTGTATTGACTGTTCTCCCCTAAACCAGCCTGAGATAAGGCACAGCGGAAAAGCTTTCTCTTCTCAGTGATCCTTATTATCACTGTAGGGATTAGGTGTTGTGATTAGGATTCCTTTATGAGATAAAGCTTCATTCTCCAC